AAATTTCCTAAGCTCCACACAACACCCCCACTGCCACATTCCATGTTCTCTGCCACGTGACCTGCACAGCTTCCAGTTTGTACTACCAGCTCCTGAGTTCTGGGCTCCTTGCTCTGTGTACAGAATTGATTTAATTGCTTTTAATTTGTCTACAAAAGCATATTTCTCAGTATTTAACCAGGACCAAGGCAAAAAAACCAAAGTGGCTCAGGACTGTTTGTGACGCCAGGTTGTGTCACTAGTCACAACTCTGCAACCATGACACCTGCTGGACAATAAAGATGATTACACCTAAAACAATTTACCAGACCTCATAGCCAGTAATTAATAAAATCACTAAGCTTGAAAGTTATATAATGGCAGACAACATTACCATGGAAAATTTTAGTAACTTTTTTGCTAATACTATGGATTATATTCTGCAAGGCTTATATGGTTATTGTGATACATCCACTTATTGGATATTGGGACTCATTTTTTTCTTCATAATTATATCCTTAAGAAAATAGTTTGATAACAGAGCCAAGAATGAGGCACTTTTAGAAATGACACAGTCTTTACAGACTAATAATGAACAGCTAGCTGACAGGATTAATACCATCGAAAATCAAAAGTTACCTGAAAAAAAAGATACTATTGAAAAGGGTAACACTAATTTGACAGACAAAATTAAATCCATATCAAGGATACTGAGAAATTATCTGAAAGAATTTGTACTGTTGAATTTGACAATTAAGATTTGTTAAAAAGTTATGATAGGTTAGCAGATTGAGTATCTCTCTAGGATGGCAATCTGCATGCTATCGAAATAATGTCCAAGGATGAGATGCTATATTTAAAGGGAAAACTTCAGACCTTGGAATCACATGTGCAGAATGAGGACCAGAGGCTTGGTGCCTCAATGAAATCACTAGAAATATATACAGGCCAGGAGATTCAGGCTTTACAAAAGACAGTAATTAAGAAGATTTGAAACTATTGAGGAAATTATTGGAGCTGATGAGCAGGGAAAGAAGGTACAAGGATAGGTTTTAACATTGCCAGTGACTGTCAGAGATGACTTACCCAGAATTTTAGCCCAAAAGAATCCAAAGAAGGTAGATGGATACCTATAGGAATGAATGATCTAAATGAAATTAAGCAAGCTATTGTTACTTATGGCTTGCATTCCGCATTTGTTAGGGACATGGTAAAGACATGGGCTTCTAGCATTAAAGCAATGACACATGACTGGTTTCAGTTAGTTTCAGCAGTCCTAGATGACAGGCCTCAACTGATGTTGAAATTTTACAACAACATGGAAAAGCAAAAGTACTTGCGACTTCCCAAGATCAAATTCTTGGTGAGGGCGCTTATGCTGACCCATAGGCTCAAGTTTTTTACAATGAAGGAATCTTGACCCTATGCCACAAAGCTGCCTTAAATGCTTGGGACAGGATTCAAGAATTAGAAAAAACAAATTGAATCATATAACAGGGTTAAACAGGGCCATAGAGAACCTTTTAGTGACTTTTTACAAAGATTAACTAAGGTTGTACAAATAGGAGTAACAGCCCCAGATGTTAGATGAGCACTTATTGAATCTCTGGCTTTTAAAAATGCCAACTTAGAATGCAAAAAGATACTTGGGCCTTTAAAAGTTAGATTAACACCAATGGATGAATGAATCCTACATACAATGAACATTGAGATATTTGATTATAATACTGAATCTTGGGTAGGAGAAGCAATTTCCAAAGAAATGAGGAAACATCAAAATGCCAAATGTTTTAATTGTGGTAGAATAGGACACCTGAGAAGGGATTGTAGACAAGGAATTTCTAGAAATAATGTCTCCTCTGGGAATGGCAAGAATAGGAGGACTCAGCCTTCAGGTATATGTAGAAGGTGTAGCAAAGGCTGACATTGGACCAATGATTGCAGATGAACAAAAGACAAACAAGGCAATTGGATACCATTGGGAAACTCCTTGAGGGGGGCCTCTCGAAAGCCAGCAAGTCAAAAGTGGTCCAGTCATTCCCAGTCACTGTGGAGGACATATATCACCAGGAATTTTTAAAAATCCAGAGCCTTCTGTAAAAGACCATACTGTTCTGGATAATGGAATAAATGTGGAGGATAAATAAAAAATTGCAATAGGAAATAGAAAATGTATATTCTGGCAGACTTCTAGAAATGATCAAAGACCAAAGCTAAGAGTGTATATAAATGGCATTGTAATTGTGAGTTTGATAGATACAGATGTGGACATGAGTGTCATTACTCCAGAATTTTGGCATCCAAATTGACCTCTTCAAAAGGCAGATGAGTTGAATGCATAGGGCCAGAAGGACAGAGAGAAAGGCTGAGGCCATATGTGGCTAATATTGTAGTGAATTTATGGGTTTATGACCTGATACAGGAATGGAATACCGAGATTAACATTTCTGCAGTCCCAGGAATTCATAATTCTGAGAAGGATATTATACAGTACTATACACAAAGGTCACCAGCCATTCAGGTTGTACACAAACTCAAAGCCACTAGCAAACCTTTAGAGGTACCAACAGCCCTACCTTAAAATGGTTAACTGAGAAACCAATATGGGTTAAATAGTGGCCGTTAACAGAAGACAAACTGCAGACTTTAGAACAGCTGGTACAGGAGCAACTAGATGCTCACCATATTGAAGAATCAGCCAGCCCTTGGAATTCTCCTGTGTTTGTTGTAAAAAAGAAATTTGGTAAATGGAGAATGATGACAGATCTAAGAGCTATCAACAAGGTCATTCTACCTATGGGCCCTCTACAATCTGGAATTCCTCTGCCATCTCCGTTACCAAAGGAATGGCCTCCCATAGCTATTGATTTAAAGGATTGTTTCTTCACTATACCTTTCCAAGAAAAGAACAGAGAAAAATTTGCCTTCACAGTGCCTACTTATATAATTCTTAACCTACTAGGAGATACCAGTGGACCCTACTTCCACACGGAATGTTCAATAGCCCCTTTCTATGCCAATACTTTGTAAGTCAGCCATTGGAAATAATACATAAAAATTTCCTAAATCTATAACTTACCATTACATGGATGACATTTTGCTATCTGATTTAAACATAGATACTTTAAAAACAATGTTTGAAGAAGTAAAGAAAGTTTTACTAAAATGGGGATTACAAATTGCTCCTGAAAAAATACAGAGAGGAGATTCTGTCAATTACCTAGGTTATAAAATAGGTTTACAGAAAATTAGACCACAAAAGGCACAAATTAGGAGAGACCAATTGCAGACTCTGAATGACTTTCAAAGATTGTTAAAAGACATTTCCAGTCTACGACAGACTGTTGGGATAACACCCCATCTAATAGTTCATTTAAATAAAACCTTAGATGGTGACAAAGAGTTAAATAGTTCCAGAGAATGAACAACCAAAATGGAAAAGGAATTGATTGTTGTTGAAGAAAAATTACAGGAGGTACATGTGGATAGGGTGAATTCAAATCTTAACTGCATTTTAGTCATATTGCCTTCCAGAATTTCCTCTACAGGAATTTTAATGCAAAGGGAGATATTATCTTAGAATGGATATTTTTACCACATAAACCAAGTAAAAATTAAAATTAAGTGGAAAAAGTCTCTGAATTAACTATACAAGGAAAATTGAGACTTCATCAACTAGCAGGTATAGGCCCAGCAGAAATTATAGTGCCTTTTACTACTGATAAAATTTAAAAAATTATGGGAAGACAATGAACCTTGGCAAAGAACTTGGGCTATTTTTTTTTAAGGAGAGATTAATCGCAATTATCCCGAAAGTGATAGACTTAACCTTATAAAGAGAACTACTTGGATCCTTCCCCACATTGTACGGGACACATCAATAACTGGAGCCCGTATATTCTATACTGATGCAAATAAATCAGGGAAGGCAGGTTACAAAACAGAAGAATTAAGTAAAGTGAAACAAAGCCCTTATAATTCTGTCTGGAAGGCAGAATTATATGCTATTCTCATTGTGCTAAGGGATTTTAAAGAACCTCTTAATATAGTTACTGATTCACAATATGCAGAAAGAGTTGTCTTGCATATTGAAACTGTTGAGTTTGTGCCAGATGATACAGAATTGACTTCATTATTCACACAGGTTCAAGATATAATCAGGAATAGGCTTTGTCCCATATACATATACACATCTGATCCCATATGGGTCTGCCAGGTCCTCTAGTACAAGGCAATGCAGAAATTGATTGACTACTGATTGGAAGTATGTTGAAGGCCTCAAAATTCTGTAAGAAACATCATGTCAATAGTAAAGGTTTAAAGGAAGAGTTTTCTATTACATGGCAACAAGCTAAGGAGATTATAAAGAGATGTCCTACTTGCTCTTTCTATAACCAAACACAGCTACCTACAGGAACTAACCCAAAGGTTACTTAAAGGAATGAAATCTGGCAGATGGATGTGTTCCATTTTACAGAATTTGGAAAATTAAAGTATGTACACCACACCATTGACATTTATTCAAGTTTTCAGTTGGCAACTGCTTTGAGCTCAGAAAAGGCTGTTTCGGTAATCACACATTTATTAGAAGTTATGGCCATCATGGGTATACCTGCACAAATAAAGACAGATAATGGTCCAGCATATGTCTCTAGGAAAATGAAACAGTTTTTTGTTTATTATAATATAAAGCATATTACAGGTATACCACACAGTCCTACAGGTCAGGCAGTTATAAAAAGATCAAATAAAACCATATAGGATAGGTTAAACAAACAGAAAGAGGTAGAAAATACCCCAAGAAATAGATTTCATGATGCTTTATTAACCTTGAATTTTCTTAACACTAATGAGAAAGGGACAACAGCAGCAGAGAGACATTGGATAATAGAAAAGTCTTCTGAATTAAATAAGCCGGTGTATTTCAAGGATGTGTTGATCTCACAATGGAAGCCAGGAAATGTGCTACGTTGAGGAAGGGGTTTTGCTCTTTTTTTTTTAACAGAAGAAGAAAAGTTATGGATACCATCAAAATTAATAAAGATTCAGTTTGATAAAGAGAAATCTCTTGAGAAAGAGAAATGATGGCTCATTCACAGAGGAAAAACCAAACCAGGTGGTAAGGAAACCTCATAAGGGTTGGAGCAGGGTTCTGTTCTTGTCTTTGCAGGAAAATATTCTCTTCAGAAAACCAAGAGACCCTGGACATCTAAAGAGAAGAAAATAATTATTCAGATAGGATCACCAAGCAAAGAGAATTATCACTTTTGAGGACATATAATCTGAGGTTAAGAATTTCTGAACACTAAATAAAATAATAATTATGACTCACTTAAAAATCAAAGTTGGCTTTGGAGTTGGACAGTAGCTCTGTCCTTCTCTAAATCCAAGCGTGTTGTTAAAATAAAAATTCAGAGTTTCTGACTCATGTCAGGAGCCATGATATGGGACAGAAAGAAAAAAGAATTTAGAAAAACTTTTTTCTTTTCTTCATACCTGTTTTTGTCTCTGTCATATCTTTCATTGAATATATATGTCTGTATAAATAATGTTTAAGTTTTCCACAATGAACAAAGAATTTTCCTGGAAGAAGATGGGGCCCCACAACAACAACTCCATCTGGTTGATGTGATGTCATGATGTTGATAGCACTACTATATAAAACCTGATTTTGGTTACCAGCTCTTTGATGGTTCCAACTTGGTTAGCTGAAATGGTGCACTTTTTTGCAACATTCTGACCAGAACTCCAAAAAATCCTCAGAAAAATCCTACCAAACACTCAGAGACTATTTGCAATTATTCCAGTAATCGTGGAACTTAACCATCATTTTACTTTCATGGGATCCCATAGAAAGTACATCACCCCCATGACAGCTGGAAGTAATTCTAGAAGATGACGTCCCCTCTCTCAACAAAGTTTGTTCTCAGAGTTAGGGACATCATTTATGGGTTGATTATAATTATTATAGGGTTGGGGATTGGGAGAAAATTATGTAGGCTCAGGGATCTCTTTGAAAAAAAAAGGTGGGGGAGAAATTGGATGGGATAATAGATTAGTGTGAGTTTACTCACACAAATATTAATAGTGAGCAATGGAGTGAATACTTGTGAGCTATTATTTACATTGGTATAGATTCTTGTATATTGATACAAACTTAAATTATATTGAATATGTTCCTATTTTATCTACAATATTTGTATAACTAGGCAAAGTTATTTTGTCATATTATATGTATGCATGCTTCTACCTCTGCTTAAGAAATTTTGTATGCTGATATAACTTTAGGATATATTTATCATACTGCAATATACATTTCTGCCTCTTATTAAAATACTTATACATTGTTTACATTTTGAGATCATTGCCCTTATTTGTTGCACAGTTGCTTAAAGATTGTTTAATATTCTAATATGAAGTCTTAGTCTTTAAGTTATATAGGTATTAAGAATTCTAGGACAATAATCATCTGTGTTTATCATATTATAGTTAGACTAGTCAGGTTCTTTAGATACATAGAGATTGTATTCTGCATAGGTAGGCAATCTTCAACCTCTTCAAAGAACTGTAGAATATGGCATTTAAATTACTTAGAGTTCTGTTGACAGGAGACACAATTGCTCCTGACAGCACCAATCTATTCCTGAGAGAATGTTGAGCACTGAAGACACTCCACTTGGAGCTTGTTTTCTTCTCGGCAAAACTGGCCTTTGGGCAAGGAACTACCCATGCATCAACCACTGACAAAATGCACAATGTCTGGACAGGACAAGCAGGATAAAAGGAAAAAAAAAATTGTCAAATCTTGCCAAGACAGGGTAAGATGGTTTTGAAAAATTTCCTGCCTCTGAAAATGGTCTGTCAGTTACTCCAGATCTTAGCCAAAGTTGGTTGCTCCAATGTTGCAAATCAGATTTTGGGTGATTGCCCAGGTAGCCAGTTGTCTTGTTATTTGTTGCATATTTTGGAAGTTGCTTGATTGCATTTCCTGCTTACTCAAGTAATATTATTTCCCTTCTCGGGTCTTTGATGGGGTTGAAGGCTAGATCGTTGTAGTTACTTTCCTCTCATGACTGGCCAAGTTATTTATTACACAAGACTTAAACTCATTAAGATTGGATAATTATTGAAACATTTATCATGCTTCTTGCATAATGTTGTTTATGCTGGTTGTAATTCCAATTTTTATACCTGATATTTGATCTTATTGTATGAAATTTTATATTAGGCTTAGAACTTTCTTATTTAAACAAAAGGGGAAGGTGCTGTAGAATTTCCTACAGCCAGTAGCCTTTAAGTTACCTGCCCACTTGGGTATGGCCTCTTATACTATAAATGCTGAGGAAAAGCACATGTCCAACCTCTCTTCCAGCTGTGGGATTCAGTTTCTGTTCCCTGTTTGAGCAGAGGACTGTAATCTGTGAGTATACCGCTAAATAGATAACCCTCTATTATACTCAGTGTGGGATTTCTTTTAAGCATCTGTCTTTACCTCAATAAAGGACTGTCACCTGGAGTTATAAGTCCAATAAATCCTTACTCTCCTAAGATGATTTTGGACAGAGTGTTTGCCACAACAACAAAAATGTACCTAGGACAATGGGAGAAAACTAAAGATGCAACCACAGACTAGGAAAAAGAAATACCTGAACCACTTGTAAAAACAAAATCAATGGTCAATATATGTGAACATTCACATCATAAAGATGTTGGCTAAATGCACATGAAATGAAGGTCCATATTGGGGGAAATGGAAAATTAGAAAGACTGTCCATGTCAGTTTTTCCTGAGAATGCAATGTGGCACTGATTATTGGTGAGAATATAAAGTGTTCCAGACTTTGGAACACAGATTGGCAACTTCTTATAAAGTTAAAAATATACTTCCATATGACTCAACATTACACACAAAAATAATTGTATAAGAGAAGGAAAAGCATGTTTCTACCAAAAAAATCCCTCAAAACGATAGTTTTATTCATAATGGTACTCACAATAGCCAAACAATGGAAACAGCTGGAATTCCTCAACAGGTGGTAGATAAACAGTTTGTGTGGCTACACCCAGCCGAACTCAGCAATGAAATTCAACTACAATTTCTGTAAAATGGGGATAAATCTCAAAAGACAGAGTATGATCCTGCTTATATGAAATTTTAAGAAACACAAAATTAATCTTTAGTAGCAAAAGCAAACAGTGGTGACCCTGGGTCTTGGGTAGGGTCTGACTTGAAAGAACCCCCAGCCAATCCCAGAGATGAGAATGCACTGAGTCAACATGATGCTGAATGTGTGATGAATGACTCCAACAACACATTTATCTTAACAATGGATATGGATCATTGAGTACAAATCAAATAAAAAGTTGTAGGTAAAATTTGTTTTTTAAAAATTGATCTACTGGCATTTGGTTTATTTGCTTGTTTGCTTGGGCTAGGAAAGGTATCATGTACAACAGCCTGGCCTAAAATTTCCTCTATAGCAAGTGGGTCACCTGAGCCTCCTGCTCCATCACGCCAAGATGCCCAGGCCTCGTATTGCCAGGCAAGCACTCTACCAACTAAGCTGAATCCCCAGCCTGTAGCGACTTTTCTTGAGTCCCACCTGCCAGCTCCCAAATAACCACACAGAGACTTATTAATTATAACTGCTTGACTGATAGCTTAGGCTTGTTACTAACTAGCTCTTACAACTTAAATTAACCCATATTTCTTATCTACACTCTACCATGTAGCTCAGTATCTTTTTTCAACATAGGATGTTCATCTTGCTTCTCCTTACATCTCCTGGTGGTGCTCTCTTCTTCATCCCTCATTATCTCAGCTTGGCTCTCCTGCCTAACTCCTTCCTGCCTAGCTATTGGCCAGTTAGCTGTTTATTAAACCAGTAAGAGTAACACATCTTCACAATATACAGGAGGATTATTCCACAGCCCCAGCCCCAGTACTGTTGGGTTATATAAAAAACTCTAAGTGGAGTTATCTTTCTTTAGAAATCAGAGATCATCTAATTTTGTTTAGATTTCTTGAGAGAAGAGACAAGAGGACAAAGAAGAGACAAAGAAGAGACAAGAAGAGACAAAGAAGAGAGGAGCAATACCACCAAACATCTAGGACTCAAGGATAAATGTCTTAGAAGAGAGGAGCAATACCACCAAACATCTAGGACTCAAGCACAAATGTCTTAGAGCTTTTGTCTGGTTCCTGTCTTGTGCTGTATCACTCATGTTTTAGCAAAGTCCTTTGGAGTTCACCCAGCAAGTCTAAGAGAATCACGTGTGTCACTAAACCACTAATAAACATTGGATGTATGTCAGGGAGAACCTTTAGCTGTATGAACAGCTGGGCAAGCAAACCTAACTGTTGTTGTTTTTGGTGGAGAGGGCATCTCATGATGTAATTTAAGTTGCCTTCAAACTCAAAGCTCTTGCCTTAGCCTCCCAAGTGCTAAATTACAGATGTGTGCACCACACCTGGCCTGACTTGGTTCTTGCTCAACACATTCTGTAGTGTTGTGTATGTGTGTGTATATGTATAAAATAAATATTGTAAATGAGCATGTGCATAAAAAGTACAGAGTGGCATCCATTGTTATTGCTGCGGTTTATATGGCTTGGTCTTGGGATTCCCTTTCTTTCTGATGCTGCTGCCAGGGGTCAGGCAGGGCTGATCCTCGGTCAACTCCTAGTCCCATTTCAAACCAAAACCCTTGCTAGTTCCCTTCAGCCCAAAAAATATTGCTGGAGGTAAAAAATAATAATATTGGTAATAAGACTACCATTAGTGGGGCACATAAGACAAATAAACAAGATGCATAGTTAGAACATAAACCTACTCTGACTTACAAAACACATGTTCTAATCATATTTAGTAAGCACTTAACACAATGTCCTATTAGAAGCCGTGTAAGACACATATACCCTGTGCCCTCCTTCCTGTACAAAAGGGAAGAAAGGAGTCATCTATAGAATACTGTCTGCAAGATTCACAGGAAGCTGGGAATCGCCCTTGCCTCAGTGAAAGGTGCACAAGGCAGGCATGAGGCAAGATACAGACACCTCAGGTGCCTCGGCCATCCCCGTTTCACTCAAAGGCACTCGGAAAACTGACTGAGTTTTCTCCTGTCACGTTGTTGAGGCAGGGTCTCGGCATTTTGCAGCACATTCCAGTTTTGCTGGCCCATGAGCTTCAGGATGATTTTCTTGTTTCCACTTCTCTTCTCATCAGAAGTTCCGGGATTATAGTTGTCCCTACTGCAGCCAGCTTTTTACATGAGTACTGGGGATTAAGCTCAGGTTATCGGGAATGTATTGCAAATGCTTTTATCCAATGAACCATATCCCCAGCCCTATTTTTCTTTTACAATCATGTGAATGTATGTGGGTGGCTGGGTGGCTGAAGACAGATGAGAGAGAGAGAGAGAGAGAGAGAGAGAGAGAGATTAAAAGTGGGTACTGTGTTTTAGATACTAGAAAACAAAGACTATTTAAGGGAAAAAATGCCTTTAATTTCTAAAGAAACAAGTCCCAGAAGATGTGGTTTCTAAAGAGATGGGCTCAACCATCCACACTCGGGTTTGATTTATCCTTACAGAGTTAACAAAGGTTGACCTCCTCAAAGCTGGATTTTATGTAGGTCAAAGTGATTAAATATCAGCAATACAATGCAAAGAACTAAGCAGGGGCCACTGTGGGGAGTGGAGGAAGCCCTGAGTGTGTGAGGTCCTGGTGAATGTGTGTGGTTGACATGGGTCCAAAAGGAAATAGCAAAGCCTTCCTCCTGGGGTGAGCTTCAGAGAAGATAGCAAATCCTTCCTCATTGTCCAAAAGTGGGTATTGATAGACAGTGTGCAGAAAATGTCCATGTTAGCTTTCTCCCCTCAGCTCTTTACAACCCGAAGACCATTGTCCTACAGAGACTGCGCCTACTAAGATTAGCTAAGCCTGTGTCCTTGATCCAGCTGTGTATAATAACCCTGACTCCATGTTTTCTCTATGTAGTAACCCCACCTCCTCCAGCTGCATGCAGTAACCCTGCCTCTTTCTTCAACTCTGTAATAAACACTCTATTTTAGCAGATACAAGGTGCTGTAGTTCTCTATCAGAGAGTCCAGTGCACCCGAACCCATAGCATCTATGCCTTGTTTTTGTCTTTTCTCCATTCCCTCATTGCCCTGATTCAGGACAAGTCCCTGGGGCCGCACAAGGACTCAGCAGTCAACATACCCATGTCTTGCCTGCCAGGGTCTGGGGTAGCCAGGCCACTGAGGAATGTTTCCCTTGGGTTTTCTCCATGAACTGTTTACATCGCTCTGCCTTAGGTCACAGAGAATTGACAAAGACAAGAGCCAGATGTTCAGATCGTATACTCACCATTTATCTGTAGTGTTGTGCATGTCTTCCATCAGTCCCTCTAGCAGCAATTCCATGCTTCCTTCTGACGACAAATGAAAAACCTGTATCTTCCCACCATAAGTATCCTTGTCCCTACATGTACAAACTGATCCTTTTGTTTATAGTCTCAAGCATTCCTCCTCTTTCCCAAAAATGTGACCCCAACACCTTGCCTTCTCTATCACCTTTTGTTAGATCAGCAGCTAAAGAAAGCAAAGATCACATGCATTATGATATAGAGCACTGGCTAGCTATAACTGTATAACAAATTGCCCCCAAAATATAGTGAATTAAAAATTGTGGGTGAGTTAGAAGCAGCTTACCCAGGTGGCTTGGCTCAGGATGTCTTTGGAGGTAACAGTTATATTGTCTGGGGCAGTAGTCATTTGAAGGCTTGGCAGCCATGTGTCTGGGAAGGAGGAACTGTGTTGTATTGAGGATCCAGCTTTATTTTATCTAGTTTTCACTACGAGGTTACTGTCCTAGTGATATGTCAGTTGACTTTCTTAAAACAAGTGATCCAAAATGAAGCAAAGAGCAAGGTGAGAAGCTTGAGGTCTCTTATGGGCTAATCATAGAAATCACTTCCTGCTTGTTGCTTATTGCATCAACTCTAGTCTGTATAGAAGGTGATTATAAAAAGGTGTCAGTGCCAGGAGGCAAGACTCACTTTGCACCATCTTGATTAGCACAGAGAGCTGCTATTATCTCCATTTCACAGATGGGGAACTGCTGTGGGATAATGCTCTTGTACCCTGTAAAGATTTGTCACTTGAGGGCTGGAAAGATGGCTCAGAAGTTAGGAGCATTGCCTGCTCTTCCAAAGGTCCTGGGTTCAATTCCCAGCAACCACATGGTGGCTCACAGCCATCTGTAATGAGGTCTGGTGCCCTCTTCTGGCCTGCAGGCATATACACAGACAGAATATTGTATACATAATAAATAAATAAATAAGAATATGTCTAATTCTTTAAAAAAAAAAGATTTGTCACTTGTATTAGTTTAATAAAATGCTGATTGGCCAGTAGCCAGGCAGGAAGCATAGGTAGGGTGACCAGAATAGGAGAATTCTGGAAAAATGAAAGGTTCAGTCTGCAGTCACCAGTCAGATGCAGAGGAAGCAAGATGAGAATGCCTCACTGAGTAAGATACCAAGCCACGTGGCTAACCATAGTGTGGGTTAATTTAAGTTGTAAGAGCTAGTTAATAATAAACCTGATGAATGGTAATCTAGAACTGTGAGCACACATAAGACCCCTGCTCCCCCAAGTTGCTTTTATCACAGCTTCAGAAACAGAAGCAGGACCCCAAAGTCTTAGTTCCCACTTACCACCACTTGCAGGTGGCAGAAGCTTCAGAAGCTGGGACCCTGTGGACACCGTCTGGGATTGGAGCATGTGGGACCCTGGTCTCTTCTGGCTGATCTTTCTTTTGCTTTTTGACACTGCTTTGCTCCATCCACCACATGTCCCTGTCACAATGTGCTGCTTCTCCACAGGCCTAAAGGCAATGGGGCCAGCCTACCCTGCCTAAAATCCCCTAAACTGTGCCAGAATTCATTATGAGTTGATTATGGCAAGTTTGGTTACAGTGGTTCAAGTGTCTGGCACAAACACTATTCATACTGTCTATTCCATACTGCCACTGAAGGCCTCAGACAGCACCAATTTGCAAAGGGCACTCACAGTGGGAAGAGGTGGCTTCCTTGGTCAGTAGGAAGCATGGCTGCTGGGGCTAACATGGCCTGCATGTCTATGATCAGTTATATTATGTACTAGATGAATAACTGACCGAATCAAATGGGTCCTCAAAGATGGGTTGGGGAAATGAATTGAGGTTTCAACTCACCAACCCTTTTTAGAGTTAATCCCACAGTAGATTCCCAAATCTGACCTGCTCATATACCTTCTTTCCCTCCCCTCCTCTCTTCCCCCACTTCCTTCTCTCTGTTTTTTTTTCTTTCATCATTTTCCCCAATCAGATCAAATACCCCAATCAGAAAGGTTAAGAGAGCTAACTACTCTTCCAGAGGCCCCGGGTTCAATTCCCAGCACCCACATGGCAACTCACAACTGTCTGCAACTTGAGTTCCAGGGGATTAACACCAATGCACACAAAATAAAGTTAAACAAATTTTTAAAAATATGCACACTTATGTATTTTTAAATATCTGAGAATCTTTATTTTAAACTAAAAGAAAAACATATACAAGAGTCTATTTTCTTCCAAGATAGTGAATATTTTTATAGTATTATGGTGATAGCACTTTTAAAAAATTTTTTTTTCAAGACAGGGTTTCTCTGTGTATCCCTGGCTATCCTAAAACTCAGATGGCGTCAAACTTGCAGAGATCCGACTTCCTCTGCCTCCCGAGTGCTGGCATTAAAGGCATGCACCACCACCGCCTGGAGCACTTTCATATATTCCTTTTATATTGCTGAAAATCTTTCAAAACACTGCTTTTAATTTTTTAAAGTTTTAGTCTGATTGGAAGATTGACTCATAAATATAACTGGGGGGGGGCAGGGTGAGGTCCAGTGGAAACTTTTAGAGGTGTAGCGCCCTCCTCTGGGGGGGCCATGCTTAGGGATATATTTGGTCCAGTTCCGTTCAGGATGAGCAGTTTCTTTGTGTCTTAGTCACTGTTCTGCTGCCGTGAAGACACACCAGGACCAAAGCAACTCTTATCGAAGACAATTCGTTGGGGGCCTGCTTATAATTTCAGAGGCTTAGTCCATTGTCCTCATGGCAGGAAGCCTGGCAGCAGGCATGGCAGCCATGGTTCTGGAGCATACTAGGAAGCTACATCCTGATCCACAGGCTGAGAGAGAAAAAAGGAGAAACCCTGGACTGGGTGTGGGCTTCTGACAACCTCAAAACCCACCCTTAGCAACACACTTCCTCCAAAAGGCCACACGTCCTAATGCTATCAAAAAGTTCTATTCCCTGGTGACTAAACATTAAGTATATGAGCCTATGGGGGCCATTCTTTTTCAAACCAGCACACTTAACTAGTGTAATAAGCATTGCAGTAGGTGAAGCCCACCCGTTTGAAATGGGATTCTTCTGTCCGTCAGTCAGGGAACTTAAACTTGGCCACTGTGCCTTGGGCTTCGAAAGGCATCCCACTCACCTGTCTGGAGCCTCAACTGGGGACAGTGTGAGATCACAGGCACGCGTATCCAACATCAGTGTTCCTTAGAGAACCCATACAGGCAAGAGACTGCATGTGTTCCTAAGGGGACTACTGCTGGTAGCCATTGCACACTAGGTCCCCTTGAGAAAAGGAACCTGATTAGTCTAACTGGTCGCAGAGAAACGCTGCTTTTTAATAGTTAATTGATTATCTGATCATAGATTACAGTGGGAGTCTCAGAACACTACAACAAATTGTATCACACTCACCAATTTTCCATAAGCTCTTTTCAGCTACAAACCTCTTCACAAACCTTATAGTTCTGCCTCTCCGGAATGCTGTGGAAATGGTCGCTCCTTATTCAGCCTTTCAGACTAAGGGTCCTTTCTAATCTCTCAATATCTAACTAGCTTGGGCTAGAGAGACAGCCAGAAAGATGGCTCAGAGGGTAAAGACACCTTTGCAGCTAAACTTGATAATCTGGGTATTATCCTGAGGAACCACAGAGAGAATGGAGAAAACAGACTCATCGAAATTGTCTTCTGATCCCTACGTGCATGCACGGCACACATAGATATAAGGAAATACATACATGCATTATGTAAGAGAGAAAAAGAAGTGGCTGGGGAGACGACTCAGCAGCTAAGAGCTCTGACTGCTCTTGCAGGGAACCTGGGTTCAATTCCCAACATCCCCATGATGGCTCACGGTTACCTGTAGCTCCAGTTCCAGGGGATCCGGTGCCCCCTTCTGCATTAATAGGTTGGTGCGCAAATCTGATTTCCATTTTAAAGATTTGAGTTGGGGCTGAAGAGATGACTCAGCCATTAAAGGCTAGGTTCACAACCAAACAGACAAGGTTTAAGGGGGTGGTTGTTTGGCTGGTTTTCCTTGATTGCTTTCCACTTAATTTGTTGAAGAGGGTCTCTCACTGAATACAGAGCTCACCAGTTCGGCTAACTAGCCAGCTTGCCCTTAACTCCCTGCCTCTGACTCTCAAGTACTGGGAATACAGTGGCCTCTATACCTGCCTACTTTTAAGTGGATTCTGATCCTCACACTTGTATAGCAAGTGCTTTATCCATGGAGCCATCTCCCCAGCCCCATTATTTCTTTGTAAATTCAGTGTTTATATCATTTACCTGTCTCCAAGAGGGTATTTTACTTCTGTCTTGAGTAATAGAAATTTTTGTGTGTGCAGGTTATCAACCATTGCTCTGCATAAAGTATCTTTGTGGAGATACACACACACACACACACACACACACACACACACACACGATCCTACCCCATAGTTATCAACACTGTTAGAACACTTGAATGTCCTGAAACAGTGGTTCTCAACATTCCTAACACTGTGACCCCTTAACACAGTTCCTCGTATTATGGTGACTCCCTCATTATTTTGTCGCTACTTCATAACTGTAGTTTTTTCACTTTTATGGATCATTATATGAATATCTGATATGAAGGATATCTAATATGTGACCCCAAAGAGGTCATGACCCACAGGTTGAGAGTCACTGTCCTACATACTATGGAGAACATGGAATTCATCATGGGAATTTGAAACCTACACTAGACATTGCCAAGTTTCTTCCCTAGGGTAGGTACTGCACCCCAAAATACTAAGTAGTATGATAAACCTGGTAACTAATGGAATCTTTTTGTTTTTTATGTTTATGGGCATTTTATCTACATGAATGTCTGTGCACCAAGTGTGTTCCTGATGCCCAAGGAATCCAGAAAAAATGGATCCTTAGGGACTGGAATTACAGGCTGTTGTAAGCTGAGGGTGCTGGGATTTGAGCCCGGGTCCTCCAAAAGAGCACTCTTAACTGCTGAGCCATTTTTCCAGCTTCTGTCTAAATCTAATGGAATCTTAGCTTCTACAGAGTCAATTTTTTCCTTCCTGCTGCCTATCACTTTTCCCCCATGAAATCATTTCCTAAATAAAATTGTTACTGCTGAAATTAAGTTTGCGATTAAAATAAATGAACTAGTTATAGTCTCGAGGAATGTTTTCGATGAGCTAAAGCGTTATTCAGTTAGCAAGCTAAAAATTGCATAATTTTACTCATGTTCACAGTCCTCTGGAGGTGTTATCAACAGTTTCATGTAGTTTTGAAATATTAGGAAGGTAATGCATGATATCATCTTTTGCACATAAGGAAGTCTGTAAGACCCATCATGATAAGACTGATCACAGTCTTTTAAGATGAGAAAAATGCCATTATGTCCTTCCAATTATGATTTGATGAAGTAAGTCAGTGAAGTCATTAATATTCCCATGTGAAATAACCATAAAAAACTATTGTTTTGGTAAAGCAAATTTTCTAAAAAAAAAAAAAAATTAGGGTTGGGAATACGGCTCTGAGATAGAAACTTGCTTATGTGTATAAGCCCTTGGGTTCAATTCCCAGCACTACCCAAACAAACAAAATATAAACAAAAACACCTTAAATAGTGAGATGTTTTTAACTCATTTACTAAGATCAAGTTCCAATAATAAGGATATTATGCCTCAAAAGGAAGACTCCATCCTCTCTTGCCTTCAGTGCCTCTTTTACACTTTATGTCTTTACCTTTTCTTTCTTTCTTTTTTTTTTTAAAGACAGTTTCTCACTATGTAATCCTGGCTGGTCTGGAACCCAGTATATACCAGGCTGGCCTCGAACTCACAGAGTTCTGCCTGCCTCTACTTCCCGAGTGCTGGGATTAAAGTTGTGCATCACCACATCTGATTCAACTTCTCAAAATCTTTATTGTGGGTACAGCGTTCATTAAGAGCAATGGCTGTTTTCCAGAAGAGGAGGGTCCCAATCCCAGTAGCTACATGGTGGCTTACAGCTGTCAGCCCCCTGTAACCTCAGCTCCAGAGGTTCTAACACCCTCTTCTGGCCTTCTGGATTCCACAGGTACCAGGCATGCTTGCATTCACAGAGTTGTGTACACAAAACACCCTACACAGAAAATAAAAAATAACTAGTTTTAGAAACCTATTTTAAAATGGTCACTTTGCAAATATTTAGTCTGTGTTGTGCCTCATGAGTTGGTTTGATGTTTCCTCCTTCTCCAAATCTGAAAGTGTTCCTTCATTTGGCTGCCCATGCCCTAAGGGTACAAAAGCAACAGCCCTTTCTCCATGTTCCTAGAGAGATGTCATTTCCTTATAACGAACTATTTCTTGTTCATTTAAAGTCTTTTAAAATATTTTTAAAGTCTTTAAAGTATTTCTGCCACTGCGCTATTCATGGTATGCTTTTCTAATGTCCTTCCTATGAGGGAGTGAAGGATGTCTTAAGGCCAAAATTAAACAGTTTGGCTTACATATCTTAAACGGCTTTATTTATGATTCTAGAATCTGGTAATACTTTCACTCCGCAAAGCAAAATAGGTGTTTTAATGCAATGGGCAGAGCAGAGATGTTTAATTCATTTTTAAAGACAGGGTTGTTATGGATTATTATTTTAACTAGGCAAAGATGTGTTACTGCGGAATATTGCTTTAACTGTGAAAAGGTGTGTTACTTTTGTTTATGGTGTATTTGTTTAATTATGCAGAGCTGTGTTGCATTTGTTTTGCCTTGCCTGCCTAAGGCACCAGATTGGTCTAATTAAAATATGAATAGTCAATAGCTAGGCAGAAAAAAAATAGGCAGGGTCTATAGGAGGAGACAGCTAGGCAGAGAAGAGGAGAAACAAGAGGGGAGGAGAGAAAGAGGGACAAGAAGTTGGCTGGTCAGACAAAGGAGTGCTGGAAGTAAGTTATACGGAAATAACAGGTAAAAAGTCCTGAGGCAAAAGGGAGCTAAAGAGAAGCAGGTTGGTTTAAGTTAAAAGAGCTAGCCAGAAATGAGCCTAAACAAGGCCAAGCATTCAAAACTGATAATAAGTCTCTGGGAGCTGGATGGTGGCCTCAAAAAAGGACCTGATGCACAGAGTCTCTTATCTGGTTGGTCTGCTTCTCCCAGTGTGGGATGCTGCAGTTGAGACTGGAGGTTAGTCTCCGATCCCCCTGCCTCCACTCTTTGAATGTTGGGATTACAGATGTGCCAACAAATGTGGTTTTATGTGGTGCTTGGGATGGAGGCAGGGCCTGAGGCATGTTGTTCAAAGTGCTCTACCAACCTCACTAGAGGCCCAGGTCAGAGTGGGTTATTTTAAAGTCACTTTCCTTTCAATCAGGAACAGGGAAACAAAGGAAGAGAAAAACCACCACCCCCACCCCCACCAAGGGATTACTTCACAGCAGCCTACTCTTTATCAAGGGGAGAGGCGAGGGTTAGTGCAGGGGAAACTATATGCCAAGGGGAATTGTTCTTTTGGGGAAAATGGCTATTTATTCTATCTCTCCTGGTGTCTCAAAAGTTCTGAGAGCAATCTAGTTTCAGTTTCATTGCATAGAACTTTAAAAAGAATGCCTCCACTTTGAGTTTTAGTTCAACCGGTGTGGTCTGGGAGCCTGGCCGGAAACAAAATTTAACAAGTTGAATAACAGGCAGCCAGGTAGAAGACAAGGACGGGAGCAAGTGTGGAAACAATAATTCCTCTAAAAGAAACGATGTAAAGACCATTTCAATTGAAGGAAATAGAGTTTGTTACCCGCAGAGGGCCAAGCCTAGGCACTCCACAGCAGTGGCTATTTTGTTTCAAGTTCCCTGCAGGCTCACTCCAGATGGGAGAAAACTGAATCAAGCCGCTGACTAAGCCTTCAGCCAGGTCTACACCTCAAGACAATTTCCTGTAAACCAGATTCATTACCTTTGATGGGGCCAGTAGAACAATAAGAAGAGACAGTTGTTTGTTGGTTTTTACTGTTGTTTATTATATACCTTGTAGCATTTGTAAAGTTAAGAATGACTTAGCTCAGCCTGGCAGTGGTGGTGCGTGCCTTTATCTCGGCGCTTGGAAGGCATAGGTAGGCGTATCTTGGTGAGTTCAAGGCCAGCCTGGGCTGCAAAGCAAGTTTCAGGACAGCTAGGACTGTTACACAAAGAAACCTTGACTCAAAAAACAAAACAAAACAAAACAAAACAAAAGACTTTAAATAATTGTCAAGGGCAGGAGAGATGGCTCAGTAGGAAAAGGTGCCCATTGCCAACCCTGAGAACCTGAGTTTGATCCCCAGGGATGGAGGA